TTTTTTTTTTTTTTTTAGGCCGCAGAAGTGCTTCTTGAAGAACGTGTTATCGAGGAATTGAAGCGGAGGCTGGTTTCAGTCAGTAACGAACTGATAAGCGGACAGAACAATTTCTCTCTTTTGCGGTTCGTTTTTTGCTTCGAATCAAAATTAACACTTTTTGTAAAATTACTTAAATTAATCATTCATAAACAAAACCAATTTTTTTGCACTCTATTTCTGGCTTTTCATTTCAGACAAAGGCAGAAAGAGTTATCCCATCGTTTGCTGCGATGTATGGCGATGCAGTGTCTTTTACAGCAGTACTCAATCAGCATTGACAGTAGTGAAGAAAAGCTTGAAACACGTTTGGAAACACTAAATGCATCCCTTATTGCGCCCAACCAAATCAAGGTAGAAGTATTTTTTATGTGTCTTTTTGTATCTATACAATGCAAAAACGGATACTGCGACGAAACTGGTTGTGTGTGTATGTTTTGCATGTTTCGATTCCATTTCTAGGAATGCTGCGAGGCTGAAAGTATGGCAGCTTAGTCCGCCACCGTGGATGAGCCGCTAGGCGTGTTTAAAATTAACCTTTATGTTTTCTTATTTTTCGTGTACGGACGGGTCAAAAGTACTTTGAATGGGAGCGATTTTGAAAATCAAATGATGCGAGCGATTTTGAAAATCAAACAGGCTAGAAAGTTGAAATTTCGCGAGGATATCCCTTCTTTATGTGTGACCGAAACAATTCAGATTCAGTCTTCACGTACGGCTACGTCTTTTCTAAGGACATATCTAAGTTCGAATTGATACACATTGGTGGAATAACAGTTCCAGAACCAGACTAGGAAAGAAGTTGTAATTGTGCGAGGATGTTTGTTGTTCGCTTATGCGTACGCGAAAGCCCGTTTTAGAGTTGTGTTCCTAAAACAGACTTCCGTGTGCACCTAAATCCGCTGTGCAGGCACCTTTTTTCGACGGGAAACGATTTTGGAAGTCGAAGAGCTGAAATTTTGCGACCTCTGCTTTCTTGTGTATTTTTCTTTATGTTTCCAATTATTCCCGAAAAGTGTGGGTCTAGCTATTGATGAGTTTAGTTAGTAAGAATTTTGTTGAGAAGAGACTTCATAATGTGTCTTTCGGAGGGAGCTAATAATTTGATTGAACTTTCGATTGACGGGTGGGCCAAATGATCCGTCTTTTCAGAAAGTATTTTGTGTTTCGTACCAGTAATTATAACTGAAAGATTTAAGAGTCGAATAAGCAATTTGCTGAGTTTGCTACACAGTGAGGCAGAAACGCTGAAAGCAGTCGATAAGGCATCACTGAAATTAACGGAAAATGATATTACGCAGATCAAGAAGTAAGCTTTTCTTGTTTGTGGAAAAGCCCTATCGTTGGAAAAATTTTATCATTTTCTATTTTTATTGCCATTTTCCTTTAATCAGTTCTTCGTATTACCGCTGTCATTGGTATGAAGAGTGCCGAAAAAAAAGTACTATCGAGTCGCAGCTAAAAGAAGGGGAGTCTGCGGAGTTGTGTTTGGAATGTGGTTGCATCTCTACATTCACATCTTTCTTCATTTTTAAAATGGCCGAGGTTACCGAGACAACTGATTCAGAGGTCTGAGATTAATTATGTTATAAAAGTGGACTCACCGAAATGCCGGAGTGGTTCAGTTCTACAGTTGTAAATGCATTTCTAGAGATCAAGTCCACTTTGCGGTAGCACTGTTCAGCAATCTTTAATTTTACCCGGTCCATCGTCTTTCGGTTGCCAGTCTGTTGCCGTTGATCGAGCCGAATGGCATGCAAGATATTGGGACTGGTGTTCTCCTTTCATTTTGCATTTACCTCCATTTCCTATTTTTTATAATTTACCAGTTTTTTGTGTATTTTTCCTTTCCACTTCTTATTAATTACAAAATCATTGAATTGTGCCATGAAAAAGTTTCTGTAAAAATGTTTTCTAATTATTTTTGGAGGCATTTTTCATGGGTATTTCATATGCAGATATCTGTCGCGGACTCAAGAAGCGCTCGAAGCAGTGGTGGATGTGGTGCATCAAAACGCCGATGATCTCAGTGTGATTGAAACTCATCTCAAGTGATATTGTGTGGTGCCTGCGCATGCTTATCATGAACTTGTTTCTGTTTTTGTGCCCGGTAAACTGCTGCAGACACGCTCATGTTCCCTGCACTGTTCTACTCCTTGTTGCAGTACAAGCGAAATATATTTACTTAATATCATTCAAAAACTGCATTCACCCTGTACATCTTAGTGAAGCTGCATGAATGCGCAAACTCGGAATCGAGGGGAATGGAAGTGTTGCCAGCTGCACTGACGAGGTAGAGGAATGTAACAGTGGGATGAGCATCCAGAGTTCTGGCAATGCAGTTTATAACTGTTCTCATAAACACAAAATCAGCTTTCATTCTTCGGCCAGTGGCACCCCCTTTCCCCAATTTTAGTTCGGGGAAACGTGACGTAGATTGAAACGGCCTGTGCTCCACATACGTAAATTTCATTGAAATACTTTGGTTGTATTTGTGGGTTTTTATTTATAGCGGCTGAATGGATATCAATGAAAGTAATGAGGAAGCGGCGGGCGCAAGCTCACTGAATGATGCCGGCGATAAGCATACTTACGAAGTGCTGGGTCATGACACATTTGTCAATCCAAAGAAAATCCGGTATGTTTTTGATTTTTATGCGGAGGTTCGAATCTCTTGTCTTATAAAATTGTTATAATTAATTACTTTCACTGATTTTTTGACAAACCAAGTGTTTCTTCAAGCATTTATTACCTTTTGTTACATTATAATTGCTGTAATGTAAAAATCTCAAGATGGAACTGATACAGCAAAGAAGGGATGTCAAAGCTGAAACATGCGAAGAAATCGGGTATCCTAAAGCGATAGTTATATGCGGATTTGAGTTTGTACGAGGATAACCTGTGTTCACCACACATGCAGACGCTCTGAAGATGATCTGTCTGTCACAGTTGCTTCCTCTTTTTGAGCAGATCCAATTGGTCAGACGGTTAGAGCAGGAGGGTGGATTGGGAATCAGTTTTACGATCAATTGAATTAAAAACTTCTTCACTGTTTTTAATCGGGAGAAAGGCATGAATGGGGGGTAGTTTTTTATTTCAAAATGTGATGGCATTTGCTTTGGGTTATTATTCTTTAAGGTTAAAGAAAAAATATAATAAAAAATGATAGAAAGCATGAAAAAGATTATTAAAGTAGGTAAGAAATCTTTCGGTCCATTAAGTTGTATACATTTCTTACCTTCACCACAATTGGGCCTTCTCATTTTTTTCAGTGTTATTCCGCAATGGATTACGCAGGGTGAAACATTCGCATCGGAACTTAATGTCGAGAACTGTGCGGAATTAGAATTTATCGAAGGCTTGCATCCTTCGCTTGCGCAGCGTGTCAAGCAACATCTCAAGCGATGGTATCCGGTGCAAACAGCAACACTGCCTCATCTTATTGCCGCTACTAATGCTTGTACGGTACTACCGCCAAGGTTTGACTACGTTGTTTGGCAATGAGTTTTTTAATTTTTTGCTCAGTGGAACCATGCATCCGCTCATTTCCTCTGGGAAAGCGGCGTAGAGAAGCAAGTAAGCGAATACTGGAATTGCAAGCAAGTTGACTTCTAGTTTCTGCAATAGCAGTCCCTGAAATGTGTACCATTTGCGTTGATGGCGCGAAAATGCGGTGCAGTGGGACGACGATCGAAGCATCAAAGTTAATTTTGCTTTATTTCTCTCAAAAGTTTTTTCCCACTTCTGCAAAATTGTTTTTTTGTTTCAGAGACCTGGTAATAAGTGCGCCAACAGGGAGCGGTAAAACGCTTTGTTATGTGATACCAATCCTTAATGCTTTACGTTCGCAAACAAGCGGCTCGCTTTTTGCATTGGTTGTTGCTCCAGTACAAAATCTCGTCGATCAAATTGAAAAGGTTTTACTTTTTTCTGTCAAATAGTTTGCCACGGGATTGTTTACGAAATTACAGTTTTTTTGTTGCGATTTGGGAAAGTCTAGAAATCTTACCTAAAAAGGAAGTGTGGTGGTGTATTTTCATATCAACTGCACCAATCAAAGCGATAATGATGCACGGATGAATCATTTTGCAATGTTGAAGATTTCGCTGTCCGTTGCACATTTTTTTTTTCCTTCTACTTTTGGCTGTTTTATTAAATTTTAGCACTCTGTAATTGGAACTCACAGCATTTGTGAAAAACGAAGCCAAAGAAAGCATGAAAATGATCGATGCTAGTTTAAAATTCTTATATGTTCCACTTTGTTATGCAACGAAAGGGAGGAGTAAGCTTCTAGGTTCTGGATATTAGTTATCAGAAGAAGCTTTGCAACTGCAAATGCTTCATTTTTCTTGCGAAGATATCGCAGTGTTTCAAAAATCAGTATGAAAGCAGCTAAAAAATACCTCAGAATCAGCGGTTTTAAAAACAAATTCTGCTATCTATACTGCTTTAAAATTGAAATCCGGAAAATTTCGGTTGGCGGAATTCGTGCTTTCAATTTTTTGAAAAGTTTTCGATTTATGTTTTCAATGTCTGGCTTTCTTTTTTTCTCT